CTGCCATGGCAGGGACACCTCCCACTGTCCCAGGCTGCTCCCAGCCCCAATGTCCAGCCTGACCATGGACAACTCCTCATCAAATCCCATTTCCCCTGAACAGCCCCTCCCCATACATGTGAGGATGTGCTCGTGGGAGGGTTTGAAGAGGGAGGAATTCTGCAAACAGAAATGAGGACGAATAAAAGGTGCTGTGGCAGCCCAAGGAGGAGGAGGAGATTGCTCCCCACTCCTGGAACAGCCCTCTATTTTCCACCTGACAGGACCTTCCTGCACTTCACCCCCTCCTCGAGTCTGGCCAGGAGAAAACCCAGAACTCGTGTCAAGGCTGAATTCCAGTGGTGTTTAAATACACCCATCCTGCTCTCTAATGAAAATTTATTTCACAATTTCTATGCCCACACCCCATCAGCTCCCCAGCAGCACTCCTGGGGTGTGCAGACCCTACAGCCCAGACAGGAGACCCCCCTGAGCTCCTCCAAATCTCCCAAAACCATCCTGAGCTTTTCCCATCCGTGTGAAAGAGAAAGCGAAACCCAACCCTGTCACATGGAGCACCTGGCACCACCAAAACTGGGTCAGTGRGGCCAAAGTCCTGCAAAAACACCCTGGGACTGTGCCACCAGGGAAACCTCGCTGAATTCCCATCCCAACCCCGTAAATCAGGTCCTTACTGGTCGTGGTGGTTGTTTTGGGCAGCTCGGTCCCATTGGGTGGCAGAGCTCGTGCCAAGAGAACGCTAACACAGAGCAGCAGGAGCCAGCAGGAATGTTCCATCCTGGACCTGGAAGGAAGCACAGCACAGGAGCGATTTTCAGGTCAAATCAATATTATCGAATCAATAAATATTATCAAATCAATAAATATTATCAAATTTTTTTTTTTTTATTTCCCTCGTGGAGGAAGGAAGCTGAAAGAAAAAGCGATATTTGCTTGGTGTTGAAATGGATTTAAAGCTTGTTTTATTGCTGGGTTTTGGTGCAGAAGGAAAATACCTGAAAATKCACTGAGGGTGTTTAAATCCAAGAGCAGAATGGTGACACGCAGCCATGGATCAAAACAACATCAGAAATCAGGGTAAAAATGCTCCATCCATAAAAAAAAGGCATCTGAGGACACCGAGGAAACGAGCCAGGGAAACATTGCCAGAGATAAGAAAAATCACAACAAAGAGGAGAGGTTTTATCACCAAGAAGACCAGAATGTTTAAAGTGCCTTTAACACAAACTTTTCAGAGTTTTCCCATCCCACCTGATTCCTTTACCCACAGATAAGGAGCTCCGTGGGTGAATTCCTCAGGGGAACATGTACCACAGCCAAGTCTGCTTTCCAAAAACAGAATTTCAGGGTTTATGAGGCCAGAAAATAATTTCCAGTGTGAAGAAAGTTACAGGAAAGGTGTGATGAGAATGGGCTGTCTCTAAATCCGGGAAAATTCCCAGATGTGGATAATAAACAGCTCCAGAAATACTCCAATCCCTCTGAATCGAGGTGGGAAATGACTCCTGTTTTGGATCTGCTGATTATTTATCCTCTCCTTAATGAACAGATTAATTAGGAGAGGCTGCCACCTCAGCCCTCAGCCAGTCCTGCTCGATTCAGAAATATTTCCACACAAATTTTGCTTTCTGCCTCCCACAAATGCAGGATTTATCCAGATGGTGGCTCTGCAGCCACTGCTAAAAGGAAATCCCTGGAAAAACCGCACAGCAGAGCTCCCTCTGTCACAATAATATATTGAATTTCACAGTCCCATTTCCACAGGGTATTGCACAGCCCTGCCCACCAACCCACTAAAAAAAAAAAACAAAAAAAACCCCAGGAACTTGGCAGTCATTAGAATAACCATCAGAAAATCCTTCCTTTCCATGTAAAGTGGGATAAGCCACCAGAAATAATCCCTGGATAAGCTCGAATTTAGAAAAATCTCCCGTGACAACAACTTTCACAGCACCTTTTCAGYGCTCTCACAGCTGTTACTCCAAAGTGAAATATTCCCACTTATTCCYGGCCTCTCTAAAACCTCATCCTACACCCAGGAGTAAATTCAGACTCACACACACCTGGCATTCTATGGATAAACAGTTTGCAAGCTCAAWAATTCTTTTTTTTCCTCTAATATATTCAGGAAAAAAAGTATTATTAGCATCAAACTTTATTTTCTTATTTTTTTCCCCAGCCTGGCTTCCAGCTAATTTACCCCTTCAATCTCTTCTACTACTATTTATAATTTAAGCAGACTAAATGTCTTACTATCTAATCCCATTCCTGGGATTTTGCAATCTTGTTCTTCTCCAATCCCATTCCTGGGTTAGGTAATTAATTGTTTTAACGCCTTGCTGCATCATTTTAGAGTTATATAAATGTCCCAAATTAACAATTTATAATAATATTCATAAAAGGAAAGGAAAGGAAAGGAAAGGAAAGGAAAGGAAAGGAAA